GCTCAGACGGGTCGCATTAGAGGACTCACTGGCTCAGACGATCCTTTACAGTTTCTTTTCCCCACACAAGACATGTACACCTCCTGTGGAAGTGTGAAGAAACGAGAGATGACTTCAGGGCAGAAGAACAATGAAGCGCTGGGATCATCTAACCGCAAAGGTACGGAACTCAAATAATCAAGTGAGAGAAACCAAAAAGAGACGATGAGAGGACAAAAATTGTAACATCTGAACAAACATTTAATTTCATCTTCAGCACAAAGAAGAACTTTACAGTGCCTTTAATTTCATTTATTACTATTTTAAATGGGTCTGATTGCTTTTTCTCATTTGCATTTACTTTGATTCCCTTTCTCCTCTCGTCAGGTATGGAAACCTCTCTGAAGACAAGGGTGCAAAGAAATCCGGTGAGCTTAAACATTCACTTGCTATCATTTTTGAAGTGTGTAATTATTTTGCAGAATTAATTAATATACATCACCTGTGCTATTAAAACTAAGTTGTGTTTTAAGAGTTGTTTGTGGTCCGTGCAGCATTGCTACCTATTGATTCAAGTTGTGCAGAATCTCAGTGATTACATTTATCTATTTCTTTTAGAAAATGGCAGCATACTTAATATTTATTGTCTCCAATATATAAAAAAAATAATTAATTAACTAGTAATGCTAATTTGAATTGTCATTGATGTTTTCTAGGACTGTACTCTTACAGCGTTTATTTTTTCCCTTCCAAAGGTCAAGTTTGCTACTGAAGGCGACTGCGGAGAGAAAACCGTGAGGTTCACTGCAGATGATGCCATTATGGACTTAACACGCAGTCACAATGTGAACATTGCCACTGATTTCAAACTGAAATCGTTCCAACATTCTGTCTTTGTACCCGCATGCGGAGAGAAAACCGTGAGGTTCACTGCAGAGGATGCAGCGATGGATATGACCCAGGGCCTCAGTGTACATATTGCAAGTAATTTACTATCAGATGCACTTCTCCCTGTAAAGAAACAAGATGGTCAGCCTAGAAACAGATCAGCACACAGTTTAAATCCAAGTTTTACTACAAGCCTCTCAAAAACTAGTGGCCCCAGTGGTGAACCTGTGATCACAAGAATGACGCCTACAGCTGCACAGTCCTCTGACATCGGAGACTCATCGAATGGAGGGACAGTCTGTCCAGAAGAAGATGTGAGCATGGACATGACTGGAGCTCAGACGGGTCGCATTAGAGGACTCACTGGCTCAGACGATCCTTTCCAGTTTCTTTCCCCTACACAAGAAATGTACCCCCAAAGTGGTAGTGTGAAGAAACAAGAGATGACTTCAGGACAGCAGCACAATGAAGTGCTGGGATCATCCAATCACACAGGTATGGAAAGTACAAACCCTCCAATGTTTTTGACAGTGACGAGGCAACAAGACCAGAGAAATTGTAATGATCCAAATAAGAAACTGTTTTTCTTTTTTTGAATTGTTTCTGACTTAATTTCCCATCTCCACATTTAGGTTTGGATACCTCATTGACTGCTTCTTTAAAGACGAAGGTGCAAAAACATCAGGTGAGCCTTAAACCTTCCCTTAATCTGATCTTTTACACAAATGTGTTTACCGAATAAATCATTATGCTGCACACTTGACCCAATACTGCATCTTTAAACTTCCATTAAAGCTGCACTAATCCATTCTTTTCATGTTTTAATTATGAAATGATAATGTTAACTTGCTGTCCTATAAAAGTTGACCCAGTTTCTATGACTTTCTCCTTCAGGTCAAGTTCGACGCTGAAGACGACTGCAGAGAGAAGACAGTGAGGTTTACTGCTGAAGAGGCCTGTATGGATGTGACAAGAAATCACATTGTAAACATTGCCACCAATTTGGCACCCCAGTCTCACCAACATGTGGACTCATCCATAGCTGCAACCGATGCAGCTATGGATGAGTCCCAGTGCCTCACTGTCAATATTGCCGACAAATCGGCATCAAATTCACATCTTCGGCGGAGTAACAGATCTTTACCAGCACATGCTTTGGATCCAGGATTTAAAAACTCCCTATCTAAGACAAGTGGCCCCTGGGCTGTGATTGCCGGAGCAGTGGCTCCTGCTGAAGTGTCCCCTCAAAAAGATGTAGACACGAATGGCTTCCTGGACCAAGTGAAGACATGGAAGCCTGATGTGGGTCCTGAAAAGGAAGCTCCAGCTCCCGTGAAGAAGCCAATGAATGAAACCATGATGGGGGACGATGTAAGTACGGATATGAGGGAAGTTCAGACAGGCTGTATTTTGGGACAGACGGATGAGCCACCTCAGTGCCCTTCGTCCACACAGGACGTGTGCCCCAATTCTGACCAGTCGAAGAAAACCGAAATCACTTCACAGTCAGGCAGTGAAGCACTGGGATCACCCGACCCTGAAATCGCAAACCTTCCCGATTCTCTTCCCTCGAATGAAACGGTCACCGGGTGCGAATCGAGAAATCAGACTTTGCCGCAGAAGATGGAGAGCTCACCCACTGCTGTCGACCATGACGTTGATGCAGCGCCTTCACGGAAGACCAGGCGAATGAGTTTGGCCGATCTTCAATCAAAAGTAAGACGTTTCAGCCACGTAACGACTACAGCACCTGTTGATGTTGCCATGGATGCCTGCACAGCAGCTGTGCCTCGACTGGACCACGACACGGACAGAAACTCGCAAGACAAAACCGAATGCACACCTGTAACGGAGCCTGAACTTGAAGTGGGTTTGGTAAACACGGAGGAAAATACACAAGCCCAAAGTCTTGCGCAAGAAGAAGAAGAACCCTTTACGACTGCAACTCCTTTCAACCTGAAGACTAAGCAACTTATGTCGAGACTCTCAATGGGAAGCTTTAAGGCAAAACTCCCCCAAAGAGGCAAACCCGAAGACGCAAAGATGCCGAATCCTGTGGGAGAACAAACGAGGACAGTCGCTGTCGATGTCACGAGTAAACTGAGCAACTTTGATATTTACGACGAAGAGCTTGTAAGCTACGAAGATATGTCTGAAACGCTGGACATGAGTCCTCAGAGAGCCACTGGAGAAGTGAGTGCTTCCCGCGGGTTCCACGCGCACGAGCTGTTAGAGGAAGACGTGTTTGAACCGGACTTTGTTTGTTCTGTCCACGGCAAAAAGAGACCTCTGCCAGGAGACGAAAACACGGAGGATGAAAAGAGAATGAAAACCTCCACTGAGGCGACCACTGACGTTGAAACGGTAGGTCAAATAATGGATAATATCTTTTGTTTACTTTATTTACCTTGACGTGCTTTAAATTCTTCATTTGTTTCCCGATGTTCAGTCTCATGTTGTGGAGTGCGACGGTAACATTGCTAGAGCTCCAAGCACGACATCACAGACCACAGATTACTCCAACAGCTCTCACACCGCCAGCACCAGATCTGAAGCTACTTTTGAATCAAGTAAGTTGTTTTGGATTCACATCGAGTATCATCAAATTCCTATTAGAGGATGTTTTCCTGACATAATTGTGCTTCCATAATTGTGCTTTTTTTTTCAGCTTTCAAACAAAGCCTGTTTGAATCCCAGCTTGAAGACTACACCAATGATGTGCAGGTATATTGTTGACATATGTTATGAATACATCTTTAAAAAGTCATTTTTTTTAAAATTCATTTATTTATTGCCCTCAATGTTTTGATTCCAGAAACTCAACGATGGCACCATTACAGTGTTGGAGTTCTTTAACCTCTTCAACATAGACTTCGTCATCCATAATCCTCGGCAAAGCATCCTTCCCGGCAGAGTACGTTCATCTTCATTAATATTAAAAAATATATATATGGAAGAACAGCCAAATGTAGTAAAATTACTTTTTATTTATTTTTTTTGTTTGCAGCTTTTGTCAGACACAGACTGCACACCGATGGACTTATGGAGAGACAGACACATCTACCGTCCTAAACAGATGGTGTACGAGACCGACGTCCTCAACCTCACAGAACGGGTGGAGGGGTATGCACGCTTACGTTTAACACATTTACGACTTTATTTTGTCACATTACGCTGTTTAACCGTGTGGTTTTTCTTCCTTGAAGGGGGTTCATGTCTCATTTTAGGTCAGCATGGCCCCTTAAAAAGGTGCAATGTGTGGTACTCGGCCATCTGCTGCCATCAGTTATTGTAAAATAGCAAGGATACACATAAACCAACCAAACAGCTGAAGCTCTGAGGCCAAAATACCACCGTTATCTCTGAATCTTCACGTGTGGCTTCAGCCTATAGCCCGTGTATGTTTTGATATTTAGTGGCAGAACATGTAAACGACGCGCACCCTCGTATCGCCCCACCAGCCGCTCCGCTTTGCCAGGAGGAGAGCGCGTGGCCTGCTCCGGGAGACAGACGCCCAGTCAGCGGCACAAACCTCAGCGCTGGGAGTCACCGCTGTATGCGCAGCTGGCTCTAAACCTGTGTGTCGGCAGCAACAGGAAGTTTGCTGATATGTCGGGGCAAAACAAACATACAAGTCATTTTCTTGTTTCTGCCACATGTATCAAAACATACACAGACCCTGTACCTTTTAAGGCGATTGACAAGCCCTCGGGGCAGCGCTACGTCTCCGTCCTCTCATGTTGTACTGAGGGCAGAATGGACACTACAGTGACTCACTATCGCCCCTGGAAGAAACAAGTGGTATTACAAGACAGGACGGACCGGGGTTAGCTGCTTAGCAAACTCCTACTAGGCACCATATCTTGTTTGACTGTGTCAGAAATTACAGAATCCAATTTGGAAAAGTTTTAAGAGGTTAAAATAACACACAGGCCTGTTCTGTCCTCTTCCCAGGTTGAAGGAGCGAATGCAGGACCGAGACAAACCACTGAAGATTGTTAACAGACCTTTGTGGGAAGAAGTGAGACATTTTACAGAGAAAGAGGTATGAAAGGACAACCCAGTGTATTTCTATTTAACTGCAATTTACTTTCCTGTCATGTGACATGTTTACAGTGTATGTAGCTGTTCATGTAGATGTAGCAGTAGAAAGAGTATCGGTTAGCTGTATGATTCCACTCCTGACCCTCACTGTGTTTCTTTGAATTCACAGCTCAAATCTTTTGGTGCAAAACTAAAAGAGAGAAATAACCTCTTCAGGAAGTTGAGCAAAGTTCAGTCCCATGAAATGAAGGAGGTGTTGTACTCCAACCTGGTGCAGTCTAATCTGGTAAGAGTCCTCCACACACAGAACCAAACTGAATTACAACCTCCTGGGTCTTTTGGGGGATGTGGAAGGTTCAAAGATATTTCTCATCTTTTCAGGAGGAGCAGCAGAGGTTGAGAGGAAAGATTGAGGAAGCAGATGAGATGCTGAAAAGTTTGGACGATTGTATTCGGGAAACAGAAACCGGTATGCTACTGTGGGAAACTGACTCCTGGCTGTTCAGTTCACTGTGCCACCTTCTCTGTGTGAATGGTTAATGATTCTCACCCACAGAAACGGGCTGTGTTGGTGTGGATGTGATGATAAAGTGACTCTGTTTTCCCCGTCCTCTAGAACTTACTGCAGTTGAAGAAAAGGGCTTTGAAGGCAAACCAAGTCTGAACTCGCGTCAGGAAGGTAACTTGTAATACCTTTTCATTGTTATTATTATTTATTTTTATCTGCGTGAATTGAATGTTGAATTTTCTTTATAGAAATGCAGACAGTCGCTGAGGCTTTGGCGGATAATGACCGGTGAGTTGAGAATATTAATGAATATCATTTTTTTAATGTTTAGACACTTTAGATATTCATTCTTTTCTTTACTTTTGCCACAAGACAAATATCCGAACTGGAGATGCAGAAGAAGCAGAACTCCAATAAACTGAACCGGCTGAAAGCTGAGACGAGGAACCTCGAGAGCCCCGTCAACGTGCTGCACATGTCAGTTTCTCATTTGAATGAACTTTCACATCTTAAGTGTCAAAACACGGAGGACCTATTAAAAAAAAAAAAAGCTGCTCATGCTGCACCGTGAACCACTTTCATGTTACACAACGATGTTAAAGTTAAAAGCTTTTTGTACATTTCTTACCTCAGGCTGAATGAATGGAGGTTTGCAGAGAAGACCGACGACTGCACCACCTACACGTTCCTTCATGAGACCTTGCAGCTAGAGCTGCTGTATGAACAGTCCAGCGGTGAGTCGTCAACAGACGGACGCTACAGAGGGAGTGAGCAGGGAGTTGATTTTTAAACTTTAGATAAGCTGGTACGGCTTATACACGGTGGACAGCGTTCCTACTGGTTCTACAAGAATTTGTGTTTTTAATTTAACATGTGTGTCCATAAATAAGTCACTAAAGGCTGAACATTTTAACCATATTGCCCTTTTTAGTCATATTAATCCACTCTAACTTCAGGACCTGCTTTGCAGTTAAAGCTACTGTTTACCAGCCAAACTACACACAGACATGTAGTGTGTGTACTAGGCAGACATTGAGTGAAAGTCTATTTGAAGACTTGTGTTTCTCAAAAGACTGATATGTGTTTACATTTACAGTCAAGCTTTTTTTTTTTATATATATATAAATGTTTTTTCCAATTAATACCATTGTCTTTTTTTATTGTTTTGAAGGGACGGATGCTGGTGATCAGTCTGAGAGGAAAATATCGCACGTCTCATTCAAACTTCAACTTGATGGTGAGAAAAGATAATACAAAAAGCAGTGTGTCATGTCAGAATATGTGTGATGAATATTATATGTTATATATATATATATATATGTATGTATGTATGTATGTATGTTTGGATTTACATGAGCTCAAATCTTGATACGTGTATCTTTCTCATCTACTCGCCTGTCTAAATACCTTCCATGTCAAATGATCAAATTTTTTTTTCGAGTGGTCTGTGTGGGCTTTATAATGAGGATACATTTTGAGGATTGAGGACATTCTTGTTACCGGTAATTTGTTTATTATAAGAAAAAAAGCCGACTACTGTACATTTTGTTTTCTAACTAGATGAGAAGTCACAGGGCCACGCCTGCCTCGTTCACAAGCTGCTCTCCGAGTACGTGGAGGGAGAACGTGACTGGGTGGAGAAGTATCCAACGAACAGACATGTTCCAAAGGTAGGTGTCAATGGAGGTGTGTTCCGTTTACTGCAAGAGGGCCACATGTGCAGCTGCAGGTTGTGGACCCGTGGTATTCTGTCTCATACTTGTGTTCTACCTTTCATGGAAATAGGGTTTTACACAGTCAATGTGAAACTTTTTTGTGTCTCCTGCTGTGTGTAGCTGCTCCATGATGTTGGCCTGGTGGTGAGTCGCTGTCGTCTGCTGGGAGAGGAGTTGCGTCTGCTGAAAATGTGGGGGGGTCTGAGGCTTGATATTCTCCACATCAGCTGTGTGGACACTCGGTAAGAACTCTTCCCGACCAAAATCTGAATATTAGAATATAATGGTTAATCACAAACTAATTAAACTAGTGTTAATAAACAGAAATAGAATAAAAGCTCACATTACATTGTTTAATATCCTTTCTTTTCTTCTTCTTCTTCGTCTAGAGTGCACATTGTCTTCAGCTGTCTCAAGACAGTTTCCAAGTTTGAAGTGATGTTCTCTGTCGGTGTGATCGACCACCACTGTGTCCTTCAAGTGCAGAGCTTCAGAAACATGATCGGAAACACGACGTAAGTTTGACTCAAATATTAATTCAGTAGAAATAGATGATTTTATGCTTTCCTGCCTTCTGGTTTGTGGGAAATGCAATTTTAAAAGCCTGTAAACAAAAATGTGTTTTTCACCAGAAACCAAAGAGTTTATTTCTACTTAGTCTTTTTTCTCTCTCTTTCCCCATACTACGCGTGTAAATGGGAGGTTGAATTTATGACATATTTAAGGGTTTTATTATTTAAATTATTAAACGTTTATCATATTATCTTTCTTTTCCTATTTGGTTTGGCTGATCTTCTGCTGCTCGAGGCTTTTATGTGCATATAAGAAAGGAACCGGTACAGACGGACACTTCAGCGCTACGTAAGCACAGCGCTGACTTGGCGCTATTTAGTTTGATATATATTTGATGTTTTCATTTATTTGCAGGATGCAGCAGATCGAGGAGATTGTGGCGTCGATCAGTCCAGCCAAGAACCTCCTGACCAAGATTGTCAAAACCATTCATGATAATCTGCTCTGTTGAGACCCATCGTTTCTATTCAAACTCTTTTGTACACTATGGATGTTGAAAAATGTAAACTTTAAAATGTGTTGTCTGGCTTTTTTTTTTATATATAAAAAAATGATAAAAAAATATATATAAATGTTTTGCAAAAAGTAACATTTCAGTGCATTTTGTTCAAATTGACAGAATACAGGAAATCCGATCAGTTTCAGCCTCGGTCTTGTTTGTCACATATCTGGCCAGCCGTCACCATTATTTACAATCACCAACATTAAGGTCCCGAAACGTCTCTAAAAAAATACATACAAGTTTGTTTTTAGATAAGAAAGAATGTAAATATGATACAGAGATTATTTTAGGTTATTCAAGTAATTCGAAGTTCTGTTATGTCATCTTGCTAGATTTTGGTTCAATTTACATTTGTTTCATGATTATGTGAACCTTGAACAGATTAAACATGGTTGTTCTCTGGTCTGGTGTGCAGAGTCTCCTCCAGGTGGTGAACATGAACCCAGCTTACAGTACTTTGTGTTGCTTATAAATACGTCACATCCAGCTGTAGCTTTGTACAGTTCTGAACATGTGTAAATGTATTTCACTATATTTTGTCATGACAGTTCCTCTTTTCAAAGATGTGTTGTACTTTAGTCATTTGAGACCAAAACTTGTTAAATGAATGTAAGTGCATTAAAAAAAAATGATGTTTCAATTGATTTGTCTATGCTATTGTTTGCTGAACTGTGTTTTATTCCCAGGATGCATCTGAATGAAGATTAATTCACAGGTTACATTCTGTAGTCTCTTCTTAATCTGCTACATGTAGGTTGAACCGTTTCAGTAATGTATCATCAATAATATAAATCACTTTGCAGAATGTGAAATATATATCTTACAAACAGACATTGTGTCATTGTTGAGACGAATGCGCTTTAAGACCGGTATTAACCCATTTGATAGACTTTGTGTTTGAACAGCTGAGATGTCAACCATCTACATCTGTTTTTAACTTTTCTGTATGCTCTCAGTGTGCTGCTCTGTTGTACTTCATGACATTAACCGAGTTGACATTATTCCCTTAAAACACGCCTTCAGTGTTAAATGCTATACTGTGGTTATGCTTTAGAGGGCGCCATGGCTCTGTAATACATGTAACCTGTTCAACACCCACTTTGGTTTGTGACCTCAGCAATGTCTACTGACGGGGTCACAGAAAATGGCCTTAGTGGGGATATCTGTGAGCAGTTGAACCAGTGGTGTTTTTTTCCTGCTCAGATTGTTTGATTTGACGGATTTTTTTTAAAGGCCAGAGATAGCCGGACGAAAATGTAAAACTTTTGAGTAGCACAGATATCGATGTTCTTTCCTAATTTGTTTAACCATCTTGTGACCCCTGAGATTTATCTTGGTACCATTTTGGGATCTTGACCTTGAGGTTAAGAACTGCTGGATAATCATAGAGCGAATATAAGATATGTATGTTATGTATATAAACTGCAAATGTCAAATACTTTTGTGCAGCACAACATCATGCTGCTTTTCATCTATGAAATGTAAACAACTTAGTAACACAAAATTAGACTTGGTTTTATTTCCGTGTGTGTTTAACCATCTTGCTGCAGATCTTGTTAATGCTCAAAGCTCATTGGCAACAGCCAAAGCATGAGTGACATGGACAGTGTCCAGAGTTCATTTGATAGGTCAAACAGCCAGATACAAGCCTCTGAGAGGGAGGGGGGGGCGGACTGTCCATTCCTCAAGCCCCGATGTCAAAGGTCAAAGAGGACTTTCCAAACCGTCACCCTCTAGTGAGCCGTCAGGGGACACGAGTTCCTCCGTCCCTCCCCCAGAAACAACGGCTGCTGTCAAACCAGATCGAAGACACACAGGGTGTCCAGGCGGCCGTTAAGTTTGGCTGAACTAGCATTTGGGCCTCCTGACCTCAGCCTGGGGGTCAATTCAAATTCGTTTCAATCGATCCGCTGAAGGATTTGTCCTTATTTACAATAATAATCATTCATTAGACCAGACTACAATACAAATAGGTATTAGTTGGTTTTTACTCCAGTTGAGTAAATTCAAAGTGATGGCAGGGTTGCAAATATAGACGGTGCAGACAGAGCGGTTGCACTGGAGCCTGGGCGGTGTGTGTGTGGGTGTGTGTGTGTGATTTGGGGGGATTGAATAGCGGGTAGTAATATATTGGGTTTGTGTAAGTTGCAGGGCACTCATAGTAAAAGGCACAAAAAATAACTTTTAAGTGTTCAGTTTTATCACATTAGCATGCTAACATAATTAGCACTAAACACAAAGTACAGATGAGACTGATGGGATCGGAATAAATTCTACTTTATGACCAAATTTTAAAAAATGTTGACCTAATAATAACGCTCAATGAAAATTAGTTTAAAGTCAGTCAGTTATGACAAGAACAAATTTTTTCTGGCAATCCGCAATAGTTCACAAGAAATTTCACTCAAAACCGCAGATGTCAACGTCATGGTGTAGAGGAAAAGTCAGGGGATCAGTCAGCAGGATTTATCCACTGGGAACCCCGAATGTATTTCAAAGGAATCAATAGACATGTTGCCATGCTTAAAGCCATGCTGCCACTGTCGCTAGAAATCTGTAATTCATTATCTTTTAACGTAAAAGTGAAACCTGTAAAACAGCTATGATCTCAACCCAGTCACCATTGCATGGCGCTAAACAATTGAATCAGATAAACTGTAAGGGTGGATCCAAAATGGGATGAAACAAGAAATCAAATTGATCTAAGTTGATTAAATATACACTGCTGTGTTGCCCAATAATGTAAAGATCGTTTCCACTTGACATTAAATGCATCACCACATATGAGAGGTGCAATGAAACTCCTTTATGACCGACAAATGTAACAGTTTATTGGGATTTAGATGAAAAAAGATGACGACAGTCCAAATGTCTAATTCTGTAAAGTGGGAACATTTGGCCTCAAGCAACCTGGTCCCAATCTGTTTACCCATAGATCCAGGAGCAGTATTTCACCAGGGAGGGAGAGCTTTGAGGTGGCAGAATTGGGTTTGGAAGATGGAAACTGGTGCTTCATGCAATAAAAGAAAGAAAGGGAAATGGAGAATGCGCTTTAATCTAGTAAAGGACTGTTTTTCATTTTTATCTCTAGAAATAAGATTAGAAACAAAAGCAGCTGTCGTGGCAAAGTTCAGCTCCAAGTCCTGCTTGGATAATGATTTAATATTTAGAGACACAAATAATGGTTTGGACGTTATACTTCCATATAAATATAACTTGGAGTCACCCAAAGCTACCTTCTGGGATCAGTGTTGTTTGGCTTTACTGTGTCTGCAATGCTTAGCCAGACCTCTATCAGTATATATATCTGTTTTTATTTTATAAAAATTACCATTTGGTAGAATGAGGTGCGATAGCCTCCCACTACAGAAAGAAACAAAAGACTATAGGCACCAATGCTCCATAGTCCAGTTAGTCAAGAATATTATATGGTTTTCGGTCGGGTTCATTTGCATCAGATATTTGGGCTAGATATTAAGCATGTGGATGCGCAGAAGCTCATTAGCACGGTTTAATTCATGTGGATTTTTAAAGAAGGTCAGAGTTCAAGTATACCAACAACCATTGCTTTAACTGTAAGGACAGCCTGCCAACACCTCCAGTCTGAAGTAATTCGCCTCCATTGTCCCTCCCTTGGTGGCCATGTTTGTTCATAGAACAACTTCATGTCTTGTAATCATCTCACAGTGCTGCTGGAGTCCAGCTGTGACAGCTTCACTCATACAGTTAGGAAAAAAAGATAAAGCCAGCTCAATTTAAACAAAGTGTTGTGTTTCACAGCAGCACCTGAGCAAAGGGCCGTATCCAAGCCAAGACACGATGGATTCATTCTTAAGGCATCGGGTACATCCACAACTCATAACACGTTCACTACGAGTTCAGAGAATAGGAATGAAACTGTCAGGTCCCATTGTACACCGGAGTTAGTGGAGGCCTGTTGTTTATTTAAATCAGCCACTGCAGAATATAAAAAGTATGCTGTGATTGCTGTTACTGTTGATTTTGATTGAAAAGTAGTTTTTGAATCAGATTTCTTGACATTATTAAGCAGATAATGTTGCGACCCAACAGACCTTCAGTCATCTGTCACGAGAGAAAATAGTGTCATCCTGTTCAGCCTAAATATCACAGGTTGATAAATTGCTTGGTGTCAAAAACAATGAGGATATCTCCCACCTTTAAGTAACTGTATAGAATAATCTATTAGGCTATGTCTGAAGTAGACACTGTAGTATCCATAAAAACAATAGATGTATGCCGTATGGAACGTCTTTGTATCCAATTAAGAGCAAAGATGCAGTTTTTTTCCAGAGACAAGTGGTTTTAAACTCGCAGCTAATCTGTAATGGTTGCTCGCAAAATCCTTTTAAAAAAAAACAGTTTTAGATGATGGGAAACATGTTATGTAAAGAAGACAAGGCAAAGTTAAGAATGTCTCCCTATGTCTCCTGAAACAGAGACATACGGAGCCGTGTCTCCACACACTTTACTTCAAATGCCACTTTTCATGCCTCTGTCCTGTTCATCTTTTTGGGGGCATTAGAGGGTGTCTTAATTGGTCCTTCCAGGCAGGTAATTAGCTCTGATGGCATGTGCTCCCATAGTGATGCGAATGAAAGCAACACAGCCACGTCCCACCACTCACCCCAATGACCAACGCACACACACGCACACACACACACACGCGCGCTAGTAAACACTGTGTGACCCGGGGAGTTGCCACATTCTCTGGTCATTCTTAGGAAAAGACAATAGGCCTGCCTTGTTAAAATGGGCTCCCTCTCAGCAGGGGGACACAGCAGCTGTCCCATAGTATCGAGCTTCAATGGTCCCAACAGCCTCACAAACCATGCAGTCCAGAGGTTGTTTTTAAACTTTTGTGAGGACATATTACATCTCATTAGAAGGGAAAATACAAAGAAGTATTCATTTAAATAATCCCTTAATATCTGTGCTGTTCTACGTGGAGAGAGAATGTTTCCCGGCATTCAAAACCTGTTGAAAATGATTTAAAAGATGAAGTATTCTTAACTAAAACGTATGTTAAGTGTCTAAAAAATATGAACATGTATTGACTGCAACCCATTAAATTACTGCAAAACAATACCTTTGCAAACCTGAATGTGCAGGTGTGTCAGAATGTGGCACAGCTTGAATACATCTAAAAAAACTCACTATCAATGAGGACATGCAGCCCACCAAGAAGGATACTGATGGCTGTGTGTTAATTCAAGTTACATCACAAAAGACTTTGAGTCCATAATAGTGTGATGATGTTTTATGTTGTGTTTGCGATTGAAAAATGTGGTCTTTTCTCAGAAAAGATGTGCAATTTGTCACTTATCGTCCATATAAAACTGCTGTGTCTAAAACCTACAGGCATCTAAATTATCACTAATTGTATTTTTAATTATGATGCATCATTGGGCCTTAAGAGACTGGAAGGGGAATTCCTTTTTTAAGGACTTTCTTTTTGTCCACTGGTCCATCAATAGCAAATGACTTCAGGGTAACTTCCAGCTGAGTTAAATTGATTCCAAACTATTCTCTGCCACAATAGCTTCACTTAGCTTCGGCCAAATTCCA